TCTTGCCGAGTAAACTTACGACTAACCCTTAGGTCTTTAGGTCACTCTATCCCTTAACAATATATTTCAAACAGATAATAAAATAAAAAAGCATACAATAAACAAAAGGTTCCTGTAGAGTACTACAGAAGTTTAGGGTGCTAGTACCTTCCCTAAGCTTAACCAACCCCTTACCTAGATCTCTCCCTGCATTGTCTTTACGATGTAAAATTAGGTTTTCCTCTTTTGACCTTTTCCTTCGGATAAATCAAAGAGCGGTTGTGAACTAAAGATGCGATTCAAATTAATTAATAATTTGATATCATATTCTAACCGCAACACATTATATAAATAAAAGTAGTATAATATAGACACATGCAAGTAGTATAAGAATAGAAAAACAGTAAATGAATAAAACCTGCAATACATAATATAATTGAAACTTAAGAAATAACAGTGGTGAAAAATTGTTGAATAAGCTTTCTGAAAACTGATGCCGGCAGGATTAAAATATGTTTGATCTAAATACAGACTGTAAAATTGCAAAACTTAATTCTAAGGAGCACTTATCACTTCAGTGAGCAAATAACTGCTTTTACAAACTAAGTTTTATGCCTAAAATAAAATTCTAATAATTTAGATATTGAGAAGTGAATTCTAGAGACCTATTTATAGGGTGAAAATTTGTATTAGGGTATCCTAAAACGTGTCAAAAATAATGGAGAAAGTGGTGGTAAAACAAATGGCCAAGTATGGAACGTGCCAAAATTTTATGAGTTAAAGGTTCATGATGGGCATCATGGTTATGACACCCCTGAGAGTCATAAGTGGGGGTCATGACGTGTGACTCCAACTTTCTGTTAGATGCATTTTGAATGATATCAAAACTAGGATACTTTAGCGCTTATGTACGTTGGACGCTATCCTTTGAGTCTAGTTGTGCATTTTAGCATTAGGAAGCATAACAACATGTTATAAAAGGTTCACGCATCAAAGAAAAATTTTCGTGCATCAAAAACTAAATTTCTATGTGAAAACAACTATGTGTCGACACATGGAAGAAAATTTCTTCTACAGGTCGACACATACGAACTTCAGGTAGGCACATGTGTTGCATTTTAAAAGTCTGCAGACTTTGTTTGATGTGCCACCTCTACATTTCGACACATGACCTTTACATGTCGACCTATGACTTACATAGGTCGATACATGCATCAAAAATCTTGAAATTTTGCATTGTTTTCTATTCATTTTGCTTTATACTTGCTAACACACACACACATACATATTACATGCATCATCTCATTTCAATGATTTTGTGAAAATCATAAACGAAACCTAGAACATATAAAAAGTCTTCTTTATCTTCAACCTTGATTTTATGCATACACACAAACAAAATACACATAATCATTCATTGTTTGGGTACCATCTAAAATCAAGTTGACAACGACCAATTTAGCTTGTGGTATTGTTAATTGGGTTGAGATATTTGGGAGGTTTCAAATAAGAAAATCAAGGTTGGGTTCTTCTTTAAGATCAAAGTGGAGATTTGAAGGTTTTGGACAAGATTACGCATATTTGGATTCGACCAAGTGAAGGCTTTGAAGAGCGGATGGTTCTTGCAAAGGAGTAGTGTGAGAAAGTGAATCAAATTAGTAAATCTTGGGTTACAAAAATTTTCAATTTGGATTCGATCGAGTGAAAGCTTTGAAGAAAGGGGGTTCTTGTAAAGGAGTAGCATGAGACTGTGATAAAATTAGAATTGTTTTGTGACTTGATCAAGCTCAAATTAAGGGAAGAGAAAATGTTAGAATCAACATCAAACATAGAGTTTGTATGGTTGTATTTCTACATTTCTCTTGTAAACTACTTTTGCAAACTAAGGTTAAATTGCATATCTCAATTCGAGTTCGAATTAAGGGCATATGTACCCATAGTGGGGCCAATTAGGGAACTGCCTAAACAAATCCTTGTACACTCTCTCACTCTATCTACCTACCTATCTATCTATCTATCTACCTATCTATCTATTTATCTCTTTTATATTTCATTTGCAAATTATTGAGTTCATCATTTGTGCGATCAATATGTTTGGTTAATTCTTATGAAAATCATTTGAAAAACATTTTATTGAGTTGATCACAATCCGTTAGATTGTGGTTGGATTTTAATATCAACAAAACTATACAAATGTTCAAACAAAATCAATTGCACATAAAGTGTTCGATAATTTGTCTCAATAGTATTTTTGTGATTTATCATTGGGAACAGTGTTACTTGTTGAGTAGCTTTCAAGGGATTGCGATTAAAACATATTGATTGAATTGCTTTCGGTTTAGACGAATCGATCTGTATCTCTTCCTCTAGCCAATGCTTTTGAAAACAGTTTTTGTAAAGCAATTTTTTTGGGACCTATTCACCCACCTCTAGATAAGTCGCCTTTGTCTAACATGACAGACGTCATGGGCATGACGTTCATACCCGTCATGGTGCTGGAGTTTGACTTTTATCGTTTTTTTCCTCAAGTTGTAACGACCTCCCTTTGCCACGTCATGACGGGCGTCATGACAACACGGAGGGCGTCATGGCAGTGCATAACTTGGATTTTTCTCCCGTTTTTGCCATTTCGCACCATTTCTTCGCACGACCACTCTTGCAATCAAAATACCTGAAACATAGGACAAGTACAAACATAAACCTATAAAAAGAAAGAGAAAAAAGACTCAAATTTGCATGTATACCGATTTGAAAATGCGATACTTTTCTGAGTCATCATTTACCTCCAAATGAAGCCCAACGCCTACTTTTACTGACTTGGGGGGATTATCCCTGAGCTGAACGGACTCGAACTCACAATCAAGCACCAGCCTAACCTCATCTTCAGGAGTGTCTAGATCGAATGCATCGGGAATCCCCATATCTCCTTCTGCTTCTCCTTTCAAGGTTGTGGCTGATGCTAAGATGTTTTTATGGATGACTTCTTTGATTCTCTTCGCCTTGTCCACAATCGACATTGAATGTGGTAGGTCGCCCTTCTACGTTGTGATAAGTGACCTTTAAGTGGACCGGGGATGCCACAACATCTTATCTTGCCAGGAAGGATCTCCTATAGTATGCCTTTGAATGTACTCTTACATGAAACTATTAGGAAATTTAGTATTACCTTCCTCTCGTGTATTCCCTCTCCAATCTCTATTATTATATCTGTAGTTCTTTGAGAATGAGTTATTAAATCGTTGAAAGCTAACAAATCTCCTCCACTATACGAATTCAAATTTGCTTGTTGGATGCATAACAGTTCCGACATGTATGTGTAAAGGATGTTGCATGGACTTCCGTACGAGAAATCCTTTGAGGTTTCGATCAGCGGTGCTGATTGCAAGTATCAGAGGTAGATTGAAGTTTGAAATTTCATTAACCTTTTCACAATCTAGAAAATCAATATTCGCCGCGAGCATAAAGTAGTCTAGAGAATGACAGGCAATGAATGATGCGATATTGTGCAAAACGCCGATCAACGATATTTGGTGAATGATTGATCTGAGAGACGAATTGAGAACCTTTGACATGGCTATCGCAATTATCGCTTATATTTCTTCTACTACTGGCATCGATCTAATTTAAGACTGAGATTGACCTGATGATTAAAATTCGCAGGAATCAAAAGTAGATTCCAAGAGATAGCGTCGCTGTTTTGAATTAGAACCAAAAATAATTGAAGTAGATGATGAAGAATTTTGAACCAGTAGTGTTAATATTTAAGATTAGCACTTTAACGCTCAATTTAATTCAAGATTCAAATTAAATATATTAAAAAATAAATATCAAAAAATATATCTTGTCTTTCACTTGAACTAATTCTATATCTTAGTTCAAGAGAAATGGAATTGAGATAAATTGAACTTTAATCATTTGAGTTTTTCGCCATTCTAGAACACTAGACTCACTTCCCTAAGGAATACAATCTTCATAAAGGTAGAAAGTATTTTCTTTGTATCATATAGTTCTTTTTATGCGTGCTATGATTTAAGTTCTTTTAGCGCTGTGATTTAAATAATATGAAAGTCATGTCGATGTATCAACAACTTGTTAAACAAAGTTAACAATGAGAATCAAAACTTGTGACCCAAAATTTTTGGTATTAAAACCTATTGAAAAATTTTAGAGATTAGAAGAAAAAATTTAGATATTTGTAAGACACATATATAACTCTATAATATATATTTTTACTCCTTTAAAATAATATATTATCTCTGTTTCTTTTTAAATATTATTTTTTGATTTTTACACATAAAAAAAAGTTAATCAATATTCTTACTTTTTATATAATAATTATCTTTTTATCTATAATATCTTTAATTATTTATTATATTTATTTTACTTTTTTTCTCTGTAATAATTATGAAGAGATAATTTTGACAAAAATACATTTAATACTATATTCAACGTTACAAGTGACAATTAAAAAAAAAAATTATCCAAAAAATAATGCGATAAAATCAAGTCAACTTCCATTAAATTTAGTTAACAAGCATTATAAATTATGATGAAAAAGTCATTGACAAAGATGTTTTCCTCCATAATGTGGTTCTTTTTCCAGCATAGGCTCTCCAAAAAGTCATTATCAAATACTTACACACAATCTTGACGAAATGGTGGGAGTAGATGTTAATGTAAAACTAATATAAACTGATAGATATCTATAACTTGAAGTGTTACACAAATTTCTATAAATTTTACTATAATTCTAAATGAGTTAACCAAAATCATATCACTAAAATACAGCCTAATTTTTTGCTATGGCTATAGCAAAAGAGTTGCACTAACTAGAATACATTCTTAATATAACTTCAGCTCAAAACTTGGATTGAATTCACTATGATGAATTCAGGTTGAACCTTACACCGCCGCAAGTTACAGGGAGGAGAATCAGATGCGGTGAGAGCGAACTTCAGGTCAAAACTTCAGTTGAACTCACTAACAAGTCCCAAAATGCTACCTTTTAACAAGATTTATAGCTAGGCATTGGATTGGAGTTTAATTTTCACTTCATCAAGGCAACCCTGAATATTCTTGAATTCTTCTGTGTTGGAGAAGCTCTGACCCTGAGAAAATGAGTAATAAATTAGAAAAACTTTACACAAATTTGGTTTCCAGAAGTTTTTCAACCTTCAAACATCAGAAATCTTAAGTAAATATTTTGCCTGTCTGCAGATGTTCTTTAAGTGCATCTCAGCTGTAAACAATTCTTTCATACTTCCGGTCGATGCGGATATTTCCATGTACACCTTGCAAAGTTCCAAAGATGCTTTTGCATACTTTTGGAAGCGATCTCGGTCATTCCAAGTATCAGAACCCTGAAAGAATACAACCGGGCGATTAAATTAAGACAACAAATGCAGGAGAAATTTCAGAGAACGGACTATCATATAAGTCAAAAAAACGAGATCAAAGATACTTCTAATTAAAAATGGTTCATTGTACACAAGCTATGGGACATACCTGGAGTGATCGAACTTGCTTTAAGAGGGCTTCAGAACACATCGTGAGATCTCCCTTAATTCTGTGCCATTTAGAATATAAGCCCCAGATTTCAGGTCCATATCCACTCCCATTTTTAACTATCTGTATCAGTGAAATAATATTAAATATGGTCTCGTTAACTCGCATGCACCACTAATCTTTTGCACAAACTTTATTTAACCAGGGCTAGAGATGAAGTGGGAGGTGTTTATTAACTACTCCCTCCATTCCTATTTATAAGCAAAATTTAATATTTTAGATTCATTAAGTAATTAATGCATCTAATCTATATATAGTCCAAATACATTATTTATTGAATGAACTTAAAAAGTCAAAATTTGCTTATAAAAGAGAATGGAGGGAGTACTTCACTAAGTAGAATTAATCTACAAAAACAGAATCTTGATAGAATTGTGTACCTGCTGTAAAACGTTACCAAGCAATGATATTAATTGTTCATTTTCACGCGTCCTTCCTGCAACGTGTAGTCCAGATACTTGCTCTTGAGGTTCTGATCCAGAATCAACCGTACAGAATTGATCTGGGTTAGCCTCATTATCAGTTGTCACAGGAGGTACAAGATTACTTGTAGAAAGCCGCTTTTCCACCTCATTTGTAATTCGTTCCAATAAAACTGTATCTACTCTTTTATTTTTAGTCATGTTTAAAACCATCTGAGCGCCTTCCAGTGCCTAAAATAATTTATCAAACTAGATGAGTACCCGTTGCATGTTCTAGAAGGCATAAAACATGCAATGAAACTGCATAAAATATACTTTCCATTGTTCATAATATACCATCACATCTCAGACTCATTTTGACCAACAATATAAAAAAAATCACATACCTGACTAATATTACCAACGTCAACAGCAACATGGCTGTAATTCTCCCAGAGTTGCCAGCTGTTTCGTCTGTTACCAATTATCATGATGTTAGTGTGTATCCTAGATGGCTAAATTTACAGTGATTATGAACTAAAAGACATGTATCACAGTAGGTGTACACTTTAGTATGCAAATATACGTGTATAGATGACATAAGAGGAAGTTTATTAAGAGAAATAAATACTGAACTTGAACTTCAGTGCTTCTTTAAATGCAATAAAGGCCTCCTTGCTCTTTTTTTTGATCAAATGTCTGCAATGTTAAGTTAACCATGACATTAGTACAGGTAAGTGGGAAATACATTGAATTTTATTGCCAAGCTCGCAACTATGTGATACCAAGGTAAAAGGGTTCTTTATTGTTTCTACAGGATACTTATGTTTCCCTACGGATAATCCATAATGGAAAATCCATGTAGCCGACCCCACCTAGTGGGATAAGGCTGGGTTGTTGTTGTTGTACTCCAAGCTGAGATCTCGACTTAGAACCCAACAGGAAGTCAATTAGGTGAAATTGAAGGGAAGGGCATGATTCCCTTATATTATATAGCCCAATTTCTGGGCCCAAAAATTGATACTTTAAAATAAGAGTGCTAGTAAAACACTCTTTTATTGGTTAAAATTCATGGGGTCTCACCAAGTCATGTTGGTCCCTTATGAATTTTAACCAATAAAAGAGGATGTGTTGGAAAGTGTGTTAAGATTTGTTGCTAGCATTTTTTCTTTAAACAATTACAAGTGAGACTTCCCAGAAATAAAAATTAAAATAGTTTAAACACACAGACTATTTTTGAATATAAGAAGAAAGTAAGAACTACATACAAGCAAGCTATGTTATTCCAAGCTTCTCCATTTTCAGGATCGAGCTGAACAGCACGAGTAAATGCATCTAGAGCCTTGTCAACATCCCGTGCCTGTTGAACTTACATGGTTAGTTAGAAGTAGTTGAGAAAACAAAAGTAAGAAATAGAAAACAAGGGGAGCAAATCTACATTAACAGCTGGAAAAACATGGGAATTTGTAATTCCCATCCTGACAAACCAATTAGATGATGCAACATATATACAAATCTACATAGACAACTGCAAACAGCTTCATAGGCTGTAGTCTATGCACAATCACAGATGTGACTCCCGGAAATAAACCATCAGCACTAAATCTTTTCTGATCATACACACGCACGCAGCTACAGTCCAATTCATCAAAGTAAGCTGTAGGCCTAATACTAAAATACTGTCATTGCGTCAACAGCAGTAATAACTACTTCAAGAACGAGTATTCATGGGTATCCAGACACTCACAAGAGATAAATTGTACAGTTGTTCTGGATTTTATTGTAAATCTAATGGTTTAAAAACAAATAGATGAAAAGCAAATCTAAGGGACATCACACAATTTACCTTCAATGCGGCAGCCCCAAATGCAAACCAACCATCTGGATACATAGAGTTCATTGACATTGCAGACTCCCTTAAATTAACAAACAAAATTTACAGTAGTTAACATACCCAACCAAATAACAAAGTTACAATCAAAATAAATGAAGTTTTTAAACATTACGAGGAGTGAAAACACAATGACAGTAAACCGCCTCATTCAGGATTCAGCATAGAGCATACCATAAAATTTTAGACGTCTCGTAGTCTCCTCTATTGTATGCACTGCGGGCCAGAGAGCGCTGTGAACCAGAGAAAAATAAAATCTATTAAAAAATGTTAAGTTAAGAATTTCATAATATGATAGAAGCAAACATGAAGAATATAAGCACAATAGATTAAGCATATGCATAGGCCCACCTTAGCTCTAGCAGACCTATTGTTTGAAACTTCCAGAGCTTTTTTATAGCAAGCATCGTCAATGGTTATGTCGCCCAACGAGCACCTAGAATAATATTTTCATGAGAAATAAATTACGCAAAATAATGATATTCTAGCTGTTTCATTTTTCAAAATTCAATAAAGTGTAAGCTAGCCTATCATCTGTACATCACTTAAAACAAAATCAATTTTATCTTATTGCTAAAGAAAATGACCCACAAATATACATTTATTAGTTTTTTGCAAAATATCAGGTCATCTATAATCCATATCCTATAAGTAACATGGTATTTCTTGATAGAAAAAGTAGTTGCTAAAAGATTTGGATGACCTTCCTTCCCCCATGCTCATTAGTTGTTAGCCCTAAGAACACCAATGTGTTTGAATAAGCAGCTTAGCTGAGTGCTTTTCACATGAGACCTTATATTATAATATAAATGCTTAAAATATTCAATAAGCATAACTTATTTCCATTAGCTTATTGTTGAAGTGTGTGTCATAAGTTTTAAAAATACTCTTCCAAATGCTCGCAAGATTATCAACAACCCCCTTAAATTCAAGAATGGAGTGTGTGTGCGCGCACGCGCGCATCAACTACAGTACGACTTCTAAGAAAAATAACCCTATTAGCTAATTAGCTATTGCTCAAGTGCAATAATAGCCTGATCAAGAAAATAAAAAGCAAGACAGCCAGGAAACGTACCATAACCTGGGGTCATTTGGCCTTTCTAAAAGACGTTTCTTTATGAGATCAACAGCTAATGCTTTCTTCTCCAAGAGACTGATTTCCATATCAAACATCAAATGAAGCAATAAGGCTTTAGTATTGAGAGAGAAAATTGATTCATTGATTTCACACCACATCATACCTGTAGCAGTGTATAAGATTGTCCCATAATTCTAAATCATCAAACTCCTTTATTGCCTCCCCTATCAAGCCACAACGTACCAAAAGTTCACCATATTCCCTGAAATTGAAAGGGAATGTAACAAGAATTAACGGACAAAACATAAAAATACTTGGGGTGAGGAAGGTCGTGTCCAGAATCTACAGAGCAAAAGTTTATACTTTCTCAAAGCAGGAATACTAGCCATATAAACACCATAACTAAAAGGAATTCTTTCTGGAATTTCTGGAGAAGATTCATATATATGCTTCACCTGCAGAAATATGTATGTATTTTTATTAGGTTCCGCAAACAAATCAAGACAATTCACAATCACATAGTAGCCAAATTGAAACGAATGTGCTATTTATAGATACAGAGATTATATTAAAAAAACTTCAATGCATTATATTAATATTAAATAAAATCTTAAAACATATACAACCTTGCTGCATCCTTAAACTTTGAAATATTGCTTGTTACTGTGTAATTCTTGTATAAATTCAACATTAGTCTTTCAAATTAATTCATTAACACACATTGGACGAGTTAGGCCCAACCCAAATTGATGGTGTCTTAAGTAATGTGCACTGTTTGTGGTACAATTTTGGGCAGTACAAACAATAAAAAATCTATTAGTTATAGTTGATAGATTAGGACCTTTTTCTAAGAGAAGCTTTATACAATATTTTCACTAAATTATAAAAGTCGTTCATTAGGATAGGGATACAGCAAAATCAATTACCAGAAAAATGATATAGTTTTATAAATATAAAGCTAACATGTTACCGAAATGAAACACATACTAAGTTATCCATCATCATTAATGCACGCTCCTTCGTTCGACTACGTAATGACTCCCATCTAATACGCAAGATATCGCAGAAGCATCGTATCTAAAGCAAGGAAAGAACATTAGAATAAGTAAGTGGACCATTAAAATAAACACCATAAGCACAGACAAAGTTGGCTCCACCGTGTGAGGGAAAAAACATCATTTTAAAACAAATGTAAGTGGTAGATTGTTTTTCTACTTACAATGAAGTAAGAGAACTGCTGGGAATCAATTGCCTCAATGTAAGGAGCCATATCCCATCCTGAAACCAAGTCATGAGACAGCAATTAAGTGAACATCTACAAGACATGGTCATTTTGTTTTCTCCTCTTTTCAGTAAAATTTGCAGTTTTAGATTTTAGAACTCAATTAGAAATGTAAATAGCACTATAATAAAAGGAGGAAAAAGAAAGGAAAGCAGACAAATAAACGTTAGGAACCATAATGTTGGTTCTTCTATGAAAGAGAAGGCTTAGCTAGCGCTTACATAGTAATGGACCCTCAAAGTTCCAAACTAAAGTGAATTTTTAATTAGACACCAGATCACTTTGAAAAGAAAACAAGATTATTGAAATTGATTTTACTTTTACTTTAGAAGAATGTTTCATTTCATTAGACTAAAACATAATTACAGACATCATATGCTTAATGGAAGAGTTGATTAAACTGTAGCAGTTGACCCTAATTTTACCCCACTGTAGTTCCAGATTTGGCATCATACTGAAACTTTCAATATGTGGCTGATAAAATAATCACTTCAAAGTAATATGTATTAATTTAGCAACATTAATTGAAAATTCAATCGCACGTCTACAGCCGTAACCTAGGAGAACAGTTGTTGCGTAAAGGGAAACCAAGATCTCTATTCATTTAATTTGATTCCATTTCTATCTTTCTTTCACTTCAAGCTTATTTGAACATCAAAATTAGGCTTTAGCGACACTTAATCCCATATCCGAGGTAGTTTCAAATTTGAAGGTTGAAAGAGGGAATTATATAAATATACAGATGCTAAAAATAATATTGTAACTACATGTACAAAATACTGTAACTTACGTTGCAATTCATCGTGTCGGGAACTCTTCTCAATTAGAAGGCAATGTGCTAGAACTACAGCCTGCTGTGTTGCTGTCAAGTTGGAAGTGGCAGTAGCGCCATTTTCCATGCCTTGTGACCTAGTCTTAGAGTCATCTGTGTTTTCTAACAGCTTTGGTATTACAAGTATGTCAGATGCTTCAGAGGCTTGATGCTGGCGTAAATTATTTCCACCATTGCTGCCATCACATGTTTGGATGCCAGTTCCTGTTAAGGAGTGGTTGTCCTCACTGTTTGACGAATTTGAGCATGCAACAAGTACCATCTGTGCCTTTGGTTCAACCTATGTCAAAGAATGACGTACAAAAAAGTTAGTGCCATGAATGAAACATGCTGACAGTGCAATTTACAGTTTACCTGATGTACGGTACGGAAACCAAGTGCCCCAGTCACTGATAGCTGAAGCCCAGCTGCCATCTCAGCTGACTCAAAACGTGTCCTGTTACAGTAAGGTACTTCATCATAAAAGGACATTGGAAAATCAAAGTTAACCATGTGATTAAACTAAGCATACACAGGTCGTGCTTAACCTTGTACTTGACAACTACTTTTTGCTTAATGTAAGTAAATGTAAGACAGAAAAAACTCATATACATATTCATAAGTACTTTACTTGCATTTACAAAGGCATTAAGTATATACAGGCTCATAAGGCAAGACTCATAAGTAAGACATACTGAAGCAGACCTTCCATTCACATTGAAAACAAAATAAACAACATCAGTCAAAGTAAAAGAAAAATTAAAAATCCAAGAGAACTGACCTACAAGGGTCAACTCGTCCATATACATATTCCATAATTCCAGCTTCTAAATGAAGCAAGGAGACAATTGCCGAGCTCTCTCCGTCAAGCAAACCAACTTCCCAATAACTCTGAACTTGTTCTGAAGTGCCAAATTGTTGTAAGGCTTCGCCCATATAAGCATGCAAGAGATCAAAAAGGGTAGAAGACCGCTCATCCAAAATTCTTTGTTCAAGAAGCAAAACCCTTCCAAGCCACCAAGTAAGGCTTCTAATATCAACGGATAAATCTTTCATCCTCATAAGCAACATCTTAGCAAAAACTATATACTAGAAGAAAAAAATTATGACTAATTAGTTGCTTGAGTTGAATCAAATATAAGTTGATAATTCAAAATGCAATGCCTTGTGCGCATGAATGGAGTACCTGAAGATTTGAGAACTTCCCAAGCAAATCAGAACCATCAGACATAAGATAATTACGCGCCCAAATGTCCCATTCTGCACATTCAAATTCAACCATAGGCAGAGGGAATCTCGGGAGCACTTTCTCCTTCAAAGGCCTGAAATTACAATTACAAACTACTGCTTCATAAACCAAAGTGGCAAATATAAACATGAATAGTAAGGGTTTCTTTTATGATGAAAAAGAACAGTACCCTGTGAAATTACACTGAGTGAACCCTAGAAACGCAGCAACGGCGATACACAGCACGAGAGTGGATCTACGAGCCTGTTCGCCGGAGCTAACTGAGGCATCAGTTATAAAAGACTCGGCGCGGTCCACCAACTCGGAGTAGAAAGTGTCGGCGGAAATCGGTGGCGGCGAATTAGGGCTGAGTTGAAAGATAAGTCTGCAGGATTGGGAAGTGAGTGCTTCAGCATAATTGCCAGACTCGATTGAGGCGAGGAGCTTGTTGACGAGGTCATCTGTGGATTCGTTTTGAGATACGGGATTTAATGGTGTCGCCGGAGAAGGAGAGAGTGTGCAGCGGATGAGGCGGAGCTCGTAGCCACGGATTCCGGCAACATCAGCTTCCAAGTTAGACATGTCTTCAAACCAAGTTCTGTTCGTCAGGGTTTAAGGTTTTTAATTTTATGTTTTTTATAGGGTTTTTTCAGTTTTTCCACGTATAAAAAGAAAAAAATATGGTTGCCCAAAAAAAAAACAGAATTCGTTGCCGGTTTTAAAGTTAGTTTCCAATGAAACCGGGTGGACCGGTTAAAACTGACGGTTTAAAAAGATAAACCGCGTTTTGATTAACTAAAAGTTTAAAAATTTTGGTATTCATAAATTTTTGTTGAATGTGCATAACTTTAGTAAAAATTAATTCAAAATTTTATTTTTAAAAATGAGTTTAATTGGTATTCAAAATTATTTACACTTACACTTCATACCAATTAAATTCAATCTATAAAAATATTAGAATGTGACATGACATTAAATAATATTATTTTGATTAAGTGATATATCTATTTAATTGAATTTAAGGACTCCTTTTAAAAAAATACTAATAACATTTAAATCAGCAGATTAAGAATAAAAAAATATCTAAATTTATATTTTATTATTTTGAAATAGTGATGCATCGTTTAACTGAACCCATATCGAAAAGCTTGGATATATGTAAAACGACACAAACGTATGATAATGAACACAATTGTTCAACAATTATTAATCACGTCCAATTGAATGCAAAGTTATACATAAAGCTTATTCCCAATGATCAAATCACAGAGAAACACAATAAGACAATTTATCGAACACCTTGTGTGCAATCAATATTGTTTGGAAATTTATTTGGTTTTGTTTATCTTAAAATCCAATCACAATCAAATGAGTTGTGATTAACTTTACAACACCTATTTCAAAGTGTGATAAAAAATAATTTCCAAACGAATTGGTCGAACGAACAATGAATTGAATAATTTGCAAACACAAATTAAAAGAGATTGAAAGAGAGAGAGTGTACACAAGGATTTATTTAGGCAATTCTCTAATCGACTTCGCTATGGATATGTCTGCCCACAATTCAAATTCGAATTGAGATAATTGCAAGTAACCTTACTTTGCAAAAGTATAAATACAAGAGATGTAGCAATTCAACCCTATAAATCCTAAGTTTGATGTTGATTCTAGCACCTTCGAAAACCTTGATCAAAGATTGATCAACTCACCAACAATGTCGCTTCAATTCACCTGTTTTCGCTACTTCCTTGCAAGGCACCCTTTATCCCAAGGCTTTCACTCAGTCGAATTAATTTCAATCGCAAACTTGTTGAAACCCAAAATTTACCAAGACGATTCACCATCTCACGATATTCCCTTGCAAGGCACCCCTTGTCCCAAGGCTTTCACTCGATAGGATCCGAAATGCATAATCTTGTCTAAAACCTTCAAATCTCTTAACGATCTTGAAGGAAAAACCCATCTCGATTTTCTTATTTGAAACCCTCAAAGAACTCAACCTAATTTACAATACAAACGACCTAAATTAGACGTTATCAACCTTAATCTATATGACACCCAATCAAAAAATGATTATATGTAGTTTGATTGTATGTATGCATAGAAGAAAGGTTAAAGATGATGAGAATGCTTTGAAATCCTAGTTTCATGTAGGTTTACTCTAGAACCTTATTAGAAACGATGCATGTATTAAGTATATATATATATATATATATATATATATATATATATATATATATATATATATATATATATATATATATATATATATATATATATATATATATATATATATATATATATATATATATATATATATATATATATATATATATATATATATATATATATATATATATATATATATATATATATATATATATATATATGTAAGTATCAAGTAAAAGGAATAGAAAATAATGCAAAAAATAAAGATTTTTGGTCTATAGGTCGACTTATCAAAGTCATGTGTCGACCTGTAAAGGTCGTGAGTCGACCTATAGGAGACGGGATATGAACAAAGCATACATCCTTAGTACTGCCGCATGTGCGTCGACTTGAAGGGTGGATGTATCGACCTATAGAAGAAAATTTTCTTCTATGTCGACTTATAGTCATATGCGTCGATCTATAAGTTGTTTTTACACACAAAACTTTGCTTTTGATGCAGAAAACTATTTATTTTCTAAACCATTTCAAACATGTTAACATGCTTCCTAATGCTAAAATGCACAGCTAGACTCAGATGATATCGTCCAATGTATATAAACGCTAAAGTATCCTAGTTTTGACATCATACAAAATACATCTAACGAAAAGTTGCACTCACAAATTCCGTTATGGCGTCTTTGCCTAATTTAGTGCCAGTGTGTAACAACAACATAGAGAAATATATGTATAATGATAGGCATCCATTTTCCTTGTGAAACTCAACTTTTGTTGGACCTTTTCATTTTTCTTGCTGTTTTTTTTTTGTTCAACAGGTTCCGGCAATGCATTTTTGGAATAAATTTATTCATAAAATTGAGGTGTGACTAAAAAATAAATGAAGTGTGTGTATTGGGTGCGTTTGCAGATGCATCTCCAAAATTTGTAGGGCATTTTAGTATTTTTCGCATGGTTTGTAAGTAACATATATGGTGCATTAAGAAATTCCTAACATATAAAGACACTGAAGTGAGTCGGCCTAATTACTTCATGGGCTGCAGAAAATGAGCTCGACCCAGTTTCTAATGGGTCAGTCAGTCCCTTATTTCAATATTATAGTTTTAAATTTATAAAAAGATATAATTGATAAAAGCTGTGTAACATAGAGTAATTATAAACTTAGTTAACTGATATTTAAAATATTCATCAAATCAACATTCATATATATGAATACCACAAAATTATCTATGTAAAAGTAAAGAAGAATTGAATATTATTTCCAATACTTATCACACTTTCTCTTCATCTTACAATCATTTCTTTAATCATATCATCTTGAAAACATATATTCATCCTCTTTAACCTTTATTTTTCACTTGAAACGCACTTATGCAATCATATTTTAACTCAGTCTTTTTTTCTCTAAAATTAACTAAAATTATTTTTAATGGGCCAGCTGGAAGCCCGTTTGATCGGCTCGGCCCGACCCATAAAAAACATAGGCCCAATGGGTTGGGCCAAAAAGATAGGTTTTGTTTTTAAAAAAATTATGGTCTGATCCACGATAAAATATAGGGCTCGTGGTCGGCCAGACGGGTAGACCCATTTTTTACAACTCTAAAGCAATAAAAAAAGAAGTGTATTTCATATCAAACTGTAAGTTTTTTTTATAAGGTCAATTATTTAATTATGGATAACATTTGCAATGTACTCATTCCAAATGCAATGGATTCCAATGACTATTTTTGGCTATCTACTAATTGTGTCCTCAAAAATCATTAAATTACCGTACCAAAATCTTGTTTTTATATTTGAGTTGACACCCAAACCAATTCTCTACAAAAAGGGGTATAACTTAACATTATTAACAAACAAAATCCTTGAGCATACTACTTCAGTTTAAGTAATCATACCTCATTATGAGAAAACATTTACAATAACCAAGTTTGAATAATATGAGGCCCGTAAGGTTATTGTATCCACACTTTAATTCAAGCAATTTTGGGTACAACTAATATAACAACGGAAATACAATAAAGTGCATATACAGTTGAACATGACAGTAGTGCAATTAAACAAAAACAAAATGATAACACAATGTAATAGTGGAATCAAATCAGATTATATATTTAATACAAAAGTAGATATATCATAGTATATAATTAAGCTATTGTCCAACTGTTACAGTTATAGATAGTTTGATGTATATAAATAGTTATATGTAATGAGTTTTTTATTTTCTTATATTGAAGGTAAACTTGTCCATTATTCACGCATATTTGCAGACAAATATGGCAATATGTACATGTAAATAGATGGCGAGAGATCATTGTCTCGTGAAAGAAACATTTGTGTCCTTCAATGGGTTTCATGAGATTAAAATGTCCAAGAAAGTCCTTGTATTGTGTAATAATGATGAAGCTTTCTTCTTATGCTTAAGACCAAGAAAAAGAGAAACTTATAAGATATTAATAAGAAGATAAAGGCTGCCAAATTTCAAATACATCTTAAATCATCACATATCCCTTTAGCTTAACATCTCTTGGCACCACCGACTCAAATTCAAGTCCAAACAGATTATTATTGAGTTGTCCCTGAGTTTCATGGAAAAATAACACTATCATAAACATTTAGCTCAAATAGTTCAAGTCAACGTATAAAATTATGGATTATAATAGAAAGATGTGGCTATAAAATATTCTTAAAAGTGTAGATTATTTGTAATTTAAAAGTTTTTGCATTCCTTAAGTTGATTTATAAATTAAATCGAAAGAAGTTTTGTCCATTATTTAGTTCCCAAGTCCCTAACATTAAACTTGCAAAATTCACCTGAAAGTTCTCTATTATGGCCAGTAGTATGGATCTCTTTCACAAAATCAGTCAGCTTGCAGAGTTGTGATTCAGAAGAAAAAAAATCCTCATACAGCCTTAATCCTTTCACGATTGAAGTTTATTTCCGCTTGAGAGCAACTCAGTAATGCATGGAAACAACGTTGTTATCATGAAGCTTTATGTTCACTGACAAGGGTAAGCAATTATCCACTTCTATAATAATGAATGAAAACAACATTGCTATCATGTATCAAAACAAAGTTTAGTTATGATATATACTTCAAAACTCAACAAAATCTCTTCGTTTGTATATGAAAGTTAAGATAATTGAAAAAGAAATAGTACTTAAAAGTGTAACTATGAACAATGTGAAGTAATGACCTACGAGCGCTCACACACTCGCAGATGATAAGAGAGTTGCCACTGAAATTTATTTATTCTAAAAGAAAAGAGAAAATATCTATAAAACCCTCAAAAGAAAAAGAAAATGGTTGTCGCAATCAAATTCGGGTTTGGGGGTCGATTATGCAAGGGAAAGATATTAGCACCCATCACATTCGTTGCATTCAACGATAACTAGTTAGTTAGATTTTTGAAATAGA